GATGTCTGTCAAACAATAGCGACAATTAGTGATCAAAGGGTTAATCGATGGTGAGGTGGGATATCTCGTTAGGGATTTACGAGGGTCATGATTTTCATCGGAAATTAGAACACGCGTTCTGCCCGGAGAATCCCCCTCATCATGAATACACGCGGGATTTGCGCGATAACGCTGTAATAAAAAAAAAAAATAAAATAAAATAAAATAAATAAATAAAAGCAGAACCGTGACTGGCGAATTTACTGCAGTAACACACATGCTTGTTTTTCCGATATCGAAAATAGGGGTTTTCCATTTAGAAATTCCTTTGCAATCATGCATCATACGTAATCGCGATAAGCGGCTTTGGGATTCCGACGTTGGTTTGTCCCTTATTTTCAAAAAATGTTTAAAATCTTGCTTATAAATTACTCATTTGATAAATTAAACAAATAAATTATTTGTAAAAATGCAAAAATTACATTTACTACTTTCGAGTTTATTTTTTTATTCAGTAATGTTGAACGCATGAATGCAACTGTAAATCTAGTAATAATGAAAAAAAGTGAGTGATATCAAACGGGATTGCTCGAATCTAACGGCTGTTAAAAATCATCAACGTTCCGTTAGTTCACCGTTGCTGTTTAATTCGCAATAATAAGGTATCTAGTTTTCTAGATCTCTAGAAGATAATCGATCAGATTTGCCAGCAAAATATCAACAATAAGCCGTAAACAATCCAATGAAAATGTACACGCTCTTACCGAACAAAAGATAACATTGGCCGTGAACGAACGGTCGGCGGCAATAACGTCTTCGCGAACGGAGACGTTAAATCGCAAGGTAATAAATTATCCTTTGAGCGCGGCGAAACGTGCATTACCCAGTAAAATAGACATATACAGGGAGTGCGGCGCGCGGCTCGCCGAGAAAGCGACATCGGGTCGGTCCTTGACCTTACGGCACAGTGTCTCTATTTGTCACGCGACGTGACAAGCCGCTAATTTATTCAAACGCATATTATCGCATACAATCGTACCATGAAACGTTTTCAACAAAACAGGCATGCGCAATCGACTCGCTAATCGCTCGATTGATTAATTGCATTTCGACCATTCCTGCCTGAGACGCATTACTTCCCATTCATTGGTGCATTTTGAACCAAGCCTAATGCTCGTTACTTTTCACTAATACTAGTTTAACTTTATATAATGTTGGTTCAATTAATTCCTTATTTTTTTCTAGTTCTAAGAATTAGAAAAAGATGAAGCGTAAGTTAAACTGTGATAATCTATACTAATAGAAACGGGTATATAAATCTGGATATAGAGTCACTGAGAAAAATGTTTTGTTTGTATCAACAAGAACTACAAACAAAATAATTCTGATAATATAAATAAGAATTCTGGTTATCTTAATTGAAATTCTGATTATCTCGAATAGAATATTTAATTAGCCAGTTAATGCAACAAAATTGTAGAATTCTTATTGTAACTGTTTCTTAGTTCCTCACTAGATTTAAATATCACAACAATTGGAAAGCCACTTTTTTTTGATAAACAGCCATTTTAATATTCTGCTAAATCACCCAACTTGATTGATGTATCATGATAACAATAGGAAAAAACATCTCTATGAAAATTTTTTATATATTTCGAAATTATAGCAATCGAGATAAAGTTAATTGCTATTTGATGATAGATAATTCATCAGATAATAATCATTTCTTTCCTCGTCAAGGACATTTGATATCTGAAATTTTAAACTTCATCACGTATTTTCTAATATCGAACAGGCTTTTCGGAATTTAGAAATTCCTATGTTGCAAAAAACTTTCTCTCTGACCTTGCTTTTGTATCTCAAGCTTCGATTCCACGTTTTCTTCTAAGAAATATCTATTGAAATTTTAATCTTCTAAAAGTCCGTTTTTCTTTTTGACACATATCATCGATGTTTCATTTTTAATATAACTATGTCTTGAAGTATATTAAAGCAGACCGAAATATATAGTTATTGATGCTTATTAACTATATGTCGTGATTCAATATCAGAAAGCTTCTCTCTTCTCTTACCATTTTTTCTGTCAACATTGGAAATTATTATTGGTTATTTAAATTTTTTTAAGTTAATATTTCTTGTATGTAAAAGATATTTTTTGTATGTTTTCGATAATTATATTCTTTATACTGAATGATTGGTTTTTTTTCACTTTTTTTATTTTCATGTAATTTAGTCGTTTGGTCTTTTTAGTAAGTAAGAAATGTACTAACGTAAGTGTACTCACTATACTTTTTTTAGTGTTAATTACTAATAAAAAAATACAACAAAGAAGCATATAATTATCGACGAGTTCAAAGATCTTTTTAGATCAAAAATAAGGCAGCATCGAGCGCTTCGCGTAAGGTCAACGTCAAAATCGTCAAGATCTCGCGTGCGCGGGGCCCTCGCCCGTATCCGTTCATTGCATTGACGGAAAATGTCCTATCTCCGTTAACGAGAGAGAGTCCATTCACCCCAGATTTGGTATCTTCATCGCACCTGATTCCGCGCGCGCTTCCCAGCCGCGCCGCGTCGCGCCGCGCGCCGCCCGCGCCGGTCCCTCGACGATTAGGGACGGGGTGTCCCGCCGCGCGGTCAACGGCGAGTCATCGACGCGCGCGTTACGGGAGTCGATCGTGTACCGAACGCGTGCGCGGCGCACTTCACGCCGTCTCGCTCCGAAGTATGTGCGTGCGCGCGCACGCGCGCGTGCATGCTCTCTCTCATGAACTCTGATTGACAATGCAATGAGCGACGCGCGCGTATAAACAATGCGCGCTTAAGCTTTAAGCGATGATTTACGCCAGATTTCAGAGGGAAGATTCTATTTGCTCTGTCCATTTTTATTAAACTATTTCTATTTCAAACTTCGGAGAAATATTTTATCTATTTATTTCTCTCTATAATTAAAAAATTGTATTTTTATAATTTTCCTCGCGATATATTTCGATAGACTTCTAGTCTCATATGTATTTAATATAAATGTGTATTTCTGATTCTTCAAATCTTTTGTCAAATTTCCATGGGAATGGGATGAAAGTATGTTAAAAACATTCTGGTCGTTGTTTATTATTGCTAACGCAAAGATTCTTCAAATCGTGCGTACAATTGACGCCGATTATTGGATGAAAATTATCGAGAATCTTCTCGTTTTATTGAAATTATTCGCGATATATACAATAGTACTTAACTGCCAGAATGAAGCATGCAGGAATTGCGAATTGTGCCTTCGCGTCTAACCAGTAGGCATTCCAGAGGATAATGGCAGATACCGTGTGACGCCATTGCCGATGCATTCGGGGGGCTCCGGCAACTTTGAGGGAATCCGTGAGAACTGCGCACGCGCGCACAGTCGCATAGTGGGCGCGCGTCTATCGTCCAATCGGCGCCGGGCGTCTCCTTACGTCAGAGAACCAGCTGACATAATCAGAACGATTCAAATGTGTATACAACCACCGCGCAGGCAGGTAATAAGGTCTTGGCACCTTCGGGGATCTCCCGATCGCGCGAATTACGTCAGAAGGATCTGAAGTTGGCCGCGTCAAGACTCGGATAAAACAAAAATCCGCTTCACCCATAATATTCCTTCTATATACAAGATAAAATAATTTCCTTCACAAAATTTATTTTAAGATTAAAATAAATCCTTTTAATCGTTTTCGAACACAACCATTCGATCTTTTTTTAATTAGCTTATATAATAGAATAATCGGCAAATAGATCTTGTTTTTAATTTTGAAAGCCAGTTTTAAAGAGGTTATTTTTTTTTTGAAAAACATATCCAGATAAGCGCGTGTACATATCGATTTCTCTCTAAACTGAAGGGATGTCAGCGCTCTCTGCATTGACCCGGTCATGTATTTTCGCCATAGTGGCGGATGGCAAGTTTTGTCGAAATGCTGCAATCGATCGATAGGAATTTTCCCCAAAGATCGAGGGCATCGCCTTCAGAATATGGCGCTTACTCAGTGACCAGGTCAGGATTCGTTATCGATTGATACGAGATAGCTCTCACGGCGTCATATCTCCATCTTTCTCTTGATATATAGAATCATAACAAACGCTGAATCCTATAACAATTCGAGGATTGGCACAAAAAAATTTTCAAGACTTTGAAACGAGAATCTCGGCAACTTTTCGTGTTATCTCATTCCATCGCGGTAAGAGAGAAGCGTCATCTCTTTCTCGAGAGTGCGTGATACGCGGTGGTCGAGTCTCGTGGAGGCGTAACGATCGGTCGATAACGTTCCGCGCCTTCCACGGAGAGGACGAGCGGCACATCGCACACTGTCGGAAGGTAGGGACACCATGCGTGTAGTGGCGCCTATCACATGCCAGTGCAGTGCGATTATGTTTGGCCTCTCTTGTTTTGCACACACACACACACACACACACACACACACACACACACACACACACACCACGCACGCACGCACGCGCGCGCGCACATTTAATGTGTACATTTTCCTTTATTATTTTTTTGTAATATTTCTTTTACTGCTTTGTACTGCCTTTACGCTCATTATAATGTTTTAACACTGAAGAGTGCATAATAAAAAAGCTATTTATATATCTCTTTCTCTTTCCTGCGTTCTCTTCTTCACGGAAGATATGTATTACATCGTGCAACGGCGAGATAAAATATTCGCGCACCAATCGCTCGAATGTTGATGAGGGAGAGAGAGAGAGAGAGAGAGAGCGAGTAACCAAAGGCGCCCGCCGTAACGCTACGGGGCTGTCAAGCTCGCTGATCAATACAAGCAAGGCGACGTGCAAGGCCGCCCGCGTGGGCTCGCGCGTTCGACTCGACTCGGGGAACCCCCATATCCCCTCGAACCATCCGTCCACGCGCGCCGCTGCGTCTCTCCCTCTCCCTCTCTCTCTCTCTCTCTCTCTCTCTCTCTCTCTCTCTCTCTCTCTCTCTGCCATCGGACGGCTTGCCTCCTTCTCCTTCTTCGTCTCCCCCTCCTCCTCCAATCGGCTGTACCTTTTTCTCGCGCGACCACGAGAGATCCGGCCGATGGTCGATGTGTCGCGCGAAGTTCGCATTCTAGACGACTGTTATGGTAATCCTCCAGCGGTTCAGGGATACAATGAAAATTTGTAAGTGTAAAACGTGGAATTTGTAAACGATCTTTCAAGCGTTTGATATTTGTGAAGGTATATACCGCGCGAAATACGATATAATATAGCGTCATTGCTGAAACATTTATATGAAATCGTCTACGAGAAACGACGAGCTAACTATTAATCGCACGAGGTAATGCTAAACGTTACGAAGATGATCGTGACAGCATAGCAATTTATACGCCGATATCAAACCGCAATGCCACCCGAGCAGAAAATTTATAGGTATCATCGTCAGTATCGTGACCAGTGATAAGCATGAATGTGTGGGAAAAAAATAAAAAGAAGAAGAATCATGTATTCAGTGTGCGCAAAGACGCGCCGCGCGGGGTCAGTCACGATTAAAATATCAATGTGGCATATCATCAATGCGGGGTATCCCGCATTCTATTTTTATTGCGCTGCAATGTATTTACGGTACCAGAGAGCATTCCCGCCTGCTATAGGTTCCCATTTCTGTCACTGCCCTCCTTACGCCCGTCGCCGTTAAAGCCGCACGAACGTTACGTCGCGTGCGTGTGCGTAACGAGGTAAAATTCTCTCGCGAATGAACGAGCCGAGAGCCGCTCGCTCGAAAGTAGATTCACGGATCCTCGCCTTGTAATCGCCTTAGTCGAGAGAGCTTGCCTCTGCTACGGTAGATTCCTACAGCTTGACGTTCTCCATGTTTATACAAGGTGTCCTGCACACAGCTGCGCTTGTGTCTATTTTACAATAGGATCGTAACTAGTAAAGGCCGGAACACAGACCTTTGCTCAACACATAATGCATAAAGTAGAAAAAAATTAACCAGAGTCTTTTATTCTATAGAAAGGAAGGAAATGCAAGACTTTGATCAATTTATTTTCTTTTGCGTTATGCAAGATTCTTCTGCACTCTCGCCTTAAGTCTTGAGAAATTTACTTGATCACAGTCAAAGAAAAATAATCGACTATTGGTTAATTTCTTACGGCCCTATTGTGGTAGGCACTAGAAAGATCCTCGAAATCTGGACGTTTTTATACAATTGGCGTAAGCTCGTTCCGCCAAAGCGCGTCGATTTCATTCAGCGTCGAGCGTTCCGTTTCCGAGCTTCAATTCAAATCTCAATCCTATATCAGTTACTGTGAGACACCCCGTGTACCACGGCGTGTAGGACGTGCCGCGAGATAGAAGGCGCGTTAACATTGAAAATGCGTTGAGTATACCTGCGATGCGTTGCGTTGCGTTGCATCGCGACGCGGTGCATCGCTGATGCCGATTCGCACAACTGACCGCTTGAGATTAACCGGTGAGATTCTCCGCGAGCAAGAGACGCTCTTCTATCGCATGTGTAGACTTATTCGTTCGTGCGTAAACCTTTTTTCTTCCTTTTTTTTTTATCGCGTCGTTCGAGCAAGGCTTTATAACGTAACTCGACTGTTCTTCCGCGAAGGCGAGAAAGAGAGAGAGAGGGAGAGAGAGGCTCTCGAAGAGGAAATTGAAAGCGAGGGCATGGCTTAGTGAGTTTGCTTATCGTGTACGCGATTTTTTTTTCTCGTCGGCATTAGTTGCCGTGATACGGAGCAGATATTTTAAAAATCAACGCAAAAGAATCTTTCCTTCCCTGAGTTATCTTCAAAATAGTCTTAGGTCAGAATTCATATTTTAGTCCGTTCTTATTTTAAGACTGTCTTAAGTAATGTCTTAAGATGTCATGACATTTTGAGATTCTATTTAAGACAATTAAATATAAGAATTGATTATGAATATCGGCCTTAAAGTGTTATTTCAGTGTTATGAGACGTTGAAGTTGAAAAGATTAGTATGATCACATGGTCTGAATTTTGACAACCTCTGATACTGGAAGTTGAATCTGATTTAAGATATTAAATGCTACATACATGACGCTACATCTTTTTGCATTTTCATTTTCTATCGCCATCATATCTCTACAATCTACAACAATGACATAACTCAGAAATGATCATTTTTTAATTGCTTAAAAATAGAACTTTATAAAAAAGATTAAAAAAAAAAAGAAAAAAAGAAAAAAGGGGAATACTTTAAAAGAATATACTTTTAATTTTCTATCATCAGTTACTATCAAAATTGTATTTTCAAGTTAATATTACAAAATTTTAATTCAAAATATTCAAACATTTTTTGAAAAAAACCTTGTTTTTCAATTTATGTCACTGTTGCAGCAAGTGAACGATATAACTTATTTTGGCGCAGAAAATGAGCGTCGAGCATCAGTATAGAAAGGCGTCTTGCTGCGAGTTGCGTTTGAGTTTTCGGAAAGGCGCAATGTTAACGAGCGTGACAGGAACTGCGTTTCGAAGTAATGGTGCGATTATTAGGTGTAGTGAAGCGTAACGATTATGCTGGTACATACAAACAAATCGCTAAGTAAACTTTGGACTAGTGAAGGCCAGGATAAGCGGAGTGAAGTTGTAGCGGATGATCTCTTCAACTAAGAAGAAATCGTTGATGTTGTAATTACGGATTTCGTTACATTTGCTTATTTAGCGTTCGTTCAATGTATATCTTTTCGCTTTTATTTTTATCAGGAATTTTGTAAAATTTTCTGAATGATTCTATCTCCCTTTTCTGTGCCGAAACTAAGGGAAATAGATACTTTTTTTCATTATTCTGTAAAAAAAAGATGATAGAGTTGTATGTTTAATGTAAGTGTTGCTCGAACCTCTCCCAGATTTGCTGTTCTGACACAGCAACATTTCGATATTTCCTCTGAACATTCTATAAGTATCGATTAATATTTATTAGAATTAATGTAACTTTGAAACTACGTTTTTCGCTTGAAGTGTATGTACTGCATATACTGCATACGTATGCAACTATGTATACATAACGCATATTTATTTATAAACGCTAGCAAACTCGTTTGCAAATTGTTTACGAAATTATTGTTGTAAAATCACTAAAACCTTGCAAGCGCCGAAACATTTTATATGCTTGACGGGAAACTCGACTTTTAAATGTACGTCATTGACTATCTCGAAATGTATTGATAAAGTACATTTAAAGTTTTATAGTCCTCATGAATCGTCCTCAAACATTTTAAAAACAAATGCATTCCTAATTCAATGCGAGTTTCCATCAATGTAGATTAACTTTAATCGATTCAATTTATTCTTCATTTTTTTTCTAGTTCTAAGAAATAAAATCGAGATTAAAGTTAATCTACATTGATGGAAACGGACCTAAATCATCAAAAAATCCGCGAATTGAAAGGGTGCTTAGTGAGAGACACCTTGTATATAAACCGTTCGTTTCCTAATCGGTCACAATATCCTCGCACTCAGTCTATTTTTAAGTCGCCGGGATCGAAGGAAGAAGAAAAGGATGCAGCAAAGAGAAGGAGACGAAGGAGACGTAGAAGGAGAAAGAGAGGAGAAAGAAGTTTCGAACCTGAGAGACGACAGGCGAGCAACGACGAGAGTCCGTTGTTGTCTCAGAGGGGGGGAATTAGCTAGGACACAGAGCCCTCCTCGTCGCGTGTTCCTCCCTCTCGTTTCTCTGCTTCTCCCCATCCCGCCAAATCACAGCGGATAGTTTAAAATTCGCCTTCGACAATCGCCTTTGTGCTTCGGAACCGTACCGGTCGATTCCACCGGCATATTTTCCTCAGAAACCGTACACAGTAACGGAATCGCACCCGCCGTCTGCCTTTCATCTCGCGGTGGAACCGCTGCCTCTTTCGGATTCGCGCCCCTCTCAGCGAATATAGACTCGCCGTCGCTCGATATTTCTCCCATAATACTTCCGTCTCTTCCCCTTAATTATCCTTAAGACGGTTAATCACCGTCAACGGTGAAAACGTTTGGCCTGAATCTGTCGACATGCGCAATCTACGAACGCATAAAGGATTTTGATATCAAACGTGATTTCTGAAAAAAACTCCGAGTAACACCGCAACGGATACGGTAAAAGGTGCTAAAATATTTAAAAAATTTAGTTAGATTTGAAAATAATTTGTTAAACCATCAAAATAATTACGTGCGGTGAGAAAAATTTCTGGTTGAAAATGAACGAATCAGAATTTTATGGTTATTGGTGCTTTGCAGCAAGAGACACAGTGTAACACAGTGATCATTTCATTTAAGGTGGTTTTTTTAATAAAGTGCCAAAAATTTGGGGTGTCTCACGAAGACTCACCTAACATTACAAATATCTGCATAATTTGGATGAAATATTGAAACTACGTGTATATCTTAATGAAATAGTATGTAACATAAAATAGTAAATCAAAAGCTGCATCTTCATTGAATGAAAACAAGATGAAATAATGTTTACTTTTTGAGGTTAAATTTATATGCAAGTTTATCCACGTAAATATCTTTCCAGAATGGCCGTTGATCTGTTACTTTTTTGTGATCATTAAAATCGTAATTTTTAAAACTATTATAATCTCGTTTTTAAGAAAAGTCTATGGTAAGATTTGTATGCAGTTAATCAAAGAAGCATTTGCGAGTCTTATATATCATTAAGTTACACGTGAAAGATTATATTTTTAACATCTTTTCTCTCTTATTTCATCGTTAATCTACCGTAGAATTTTGCACACTCAATTTCAGTACTTCAACTTAATTATATAAAAAAATTAGGCATTTCTATGGTAACTCGATTTATTAAAAAATCGCTTTAACAAATTTGCTTTGGCAAACAATAAGAATGCAATGATTCATTTCATGATGGAAACTCTAAATAATCTAATTAATATAACCAGATGTCCAATTATGATGATCGAAATTTTAATTGATATGATCAAAACTTAACAGAAAAATATATGTAACGCATGTTACTTGTACGCAAGTAATAATTATTTGTTTCAAGTATTTCGAAAGTTCATATCCGCAAATCTATCATTATAAACATCATCATTCAAACTATATTTTGAATCCTAAGCTTAATTAATACTTCAATCAAGATTATTAAATTAAATTTGATTTGCTTATTATATAAAATCGTATCTTCTATCAACTTTACAATTT